CTCGACGCCTATCGATCTGCCGGCCGAGACTGGACGGCGCGGCCCGGCGCTGGGTGGACGGCGCGGCGCGGATGACCCGCAGACGGTATGGCATGGGAGTCGTTGGGAGACAGGGGAGCGGGGACTGTCGGGAGACAGGAGAGAGCGGGGCTGTCGGGACGCAGGAGAGAGCAGCGACTGTCCGGACAAAAGAGAGAGCAGCGAGTGTCAGGAGACAGGAGAGAGCAGCGACTGTCAGAAGACAGGAGAGGGCAGCGACTGTCGAGAGACAGGAGAGAGCAGCGACTGTCGGGACACAGGAGAGAGCAGCGACTGTCAGGAGATAGGAGAGAGCAGGGACTGTTGGGAGACAGGACAGGGCAGGGACTGTCGGAAGACGACACGGTACGGGAACTGTCTGGAGACACGAGAGAGCAAGGACTGTAGGGGGGCGAGACAGCACGGGAAGTGTTGAGAAACAGGAGAAAGCGCGATTGTCAGGGTTCGGGACAGCACTGAGACCACCTGCATCCGGAGACAGGACGTTGCGGGATGCCGGGAAACTGGACAGGGCCATTACCGGCAGACAGGACCGGGTTTGATGCTTGCACAAAGTTTACCGGGAGATAAGACATCATGTGGAATCACATGAATATCTTATTGAGAGACGGTGCAGTAGGCTCCCGGCACATTGAGTACTAAGGACAAGATGTCAGCCTTTGGTAAGCTCGGTTTAGCAAAAGATGCAGGCTGTTGTGGGCGCGATAACACCCGCTCTGTACGTCCACGTAAGAGACGCGGCCATACTTCCTGCTGCCGTCCTTCCATCTTGCCCCCAGGGTATCAGCCTTTGTTAACGGGTCTGCCATCCATGCCTTTCTGATTCTAATGCTTTTTCGCATGTCCTATGCTTTCGCAGGTCCTAATGCTTTTACGCAGGTGGCAGGTCCTACCCCGTGTGCTCCGACCATCCGCCCTTCGTGGTCCTCATCAAATGCTTCGATACGTCAAGCTAGGGTCACCGTGTATCTCGTCCTACACAGCATACAGCCCACTCAGCCCCCTCCGCAGCTGGCGATGCGGCGTTGGCACCGGCGCCAGTGCGGCGCCGACTCACTGGGGTCCTCGGCGCCCTCGATGTAGCGCGTCTCCAGCTCGGAGGTGGACTTCTGGCGGCGCAGCAGGCGTGACTTGGGCTGACAGCGCGGCACGCTGCCCTGGCACTCGACATGCACGTTCATCTTGCACAACCGGCACTTGAGGCCCTGCCGCGTGTGCCCTGGCGACGGGGAGGGCGGGGCCGTCAGAGGCCGCGCGACACGGGCGTCACTGGCCGCGCTGCGGAAGGCGTCGCCGAACAGCGGCGGCGACACGGGCGTCACTGGCCCGCGCTGCGGAAGACACCGCCGAACAGCGGCGGCGACACGGGCGTCACTGGCCCGCGCTGCGGAAGACGCAGCCGAAAGCGGCGGCGACACGGGCGTCACTGGCCCGCGCTGCGGAAGAACCGCCGAACAGCGGCGGCGACACGGGCGTCACTGGCCCGCGCTGCGGAAGGCGTCGCCGAACAGCGGCGGCGACACGGGCGTCACTGGCCGCGCTGCGGAAGGCGCCGCCGAACAGCGGCGGTGACACGGGCGTCACTGGCCGCGCTGCGGAAGACACCACCGAACAGCGGCGGCGACACGGGCGTCACTGACCCGCGCTGCGGAAGGCGCCGCCGAAGATGGAGGGATGTGGTCTGTGAATGGCGTCGGCTGCACATGGGCACACCCAGCAACGGAGTTAGTGTGAAGCAGCACCCAAGCAGCGGGCAGGTTTGGATGTTAGCGGTTTGTCATGCTGTGTCGGTCACAGACCACATCATCAAGTGGTCCGCGTAAGCTAGTCAAGGATCACACTATATTCAGATAAAACTTTTGGTGAATATGTATAGGTTTGCTATAGCGTGTGAAACGGATCTCGCCATATTTTATTCCACGATGGCATATTAATCTTAACGTTTGAGTCTGAAATACGTCAGTTCCTGAGATTAAAGGCTTTCTGTCCTCCCAAGTTTTCTCCACGGGACTAGAGCCAACAAAGCGTGACCGGAAACACTTGCGGAAAAACGACACTAACACGAACGCATTCCAGTCAGCACCGAGGTCAGTGATTGATTGTAAGTGACCTCATACGCATGAACTCAGCGGAGCCAAATTGCTTTCTTTTACCCAGCTGTGATGCTGTCAGTACTTTTGAAAGTAATAGCATGACCACGTCTAGAGTAAATTGGTTGTAATCATGATTCGTCCCCCATTTGGTAATTCAAAAGCCGACACATCTGCTAGCCCGAGAGCAAAAAAATAAACTTTCGCCGCATACGCCTTCCACAAAGCAGTTTGTGTGTGTGTGTGTGTGTGTGTGTGTGTGTGTGTGTGTGTGTGTGTGGTGTGTGTGTGTGTGTGTGTGTGTGTGTGTGTGTGTGTGTGTGTGTGTGGTGTGCGTGTGTGTGTGTGTGCGTGTGTGTGTGTGTGTGCTGTGTGTGTGTGTGTGTTGTGTGTGTGTGTGTGTGTGTGTGTGGTGTGTGGTGTGTGTGTGTGTGTGTGTGTTGTGTGTGTGTGTGTGTGTGTGTGTGTGTGGTGTGTGTGTGTGTGTGCGTGTGTGTGTCGCAGCACGACCGCTGTCGCCTTATTGCTCGATGCGGTAGCGATATATAGAAAAACCGACACAGTAGCCCGCAAATGATTCTCACCATGCGGACCTTTGGGAACAAGGTCCGTGATCAGACGGTTGTAGACGTCTAAATTTGTTGGTCAGGTGGTCCAATAAAAATTCAGCCAGACTAAACGCTCATATGATGCGAGGATCTGGTCGGGACCTACCTGGAAAAAATACAAGCGGGGGAGGGGGAGGAGAGGAAGGGGAGGCACAAAGCCTTAAGCTGGCGATGGTTAAAGCAAGTTCACGCGAGTTGTAAGTTAGATGATTGATTGGTTCAATTCAGGATCCCACACAAACGGGCACGCGATGACGGACAGGAGAGGAAGATGTGGCGCCGACCTGCCGTTTGAGGGCCCGGGCGGCCCGACACAGATGCAGGAGCGCTGTCCGGCCTCATCTCCTGTCGGTCGATGACATCACATTGTTGCGTCGATGTGACACTGATGACGTGCCGGCCCCAAACGACCACACACTTGCTCCGCGCCCGTGATGACGCTTTTTACAAACTCCCTCATATCAAACTGCAACTTTTCTTGGGGGTCCGTACGAAAGTCACTCACTTTGCTATCTGCATGTGGGACGCCCCAAGAAAACAACTTGATCTCGCTAACACCGGTCACTTATTGAAACAACAAGAACTAAATAAACAAACGGGATCACATTGGAACGGTGGTCAGTCGGGGCAGAGTGTGACCGAAGCATGCTTTGGTGGTCACCCCCCAAATTTAAGAGGCGGTGCTGCCAAGCAGTGAGTCTGAAAGGCGGGAAAAACACATAATCAACTAGCGGAGTCAAGGAGTGGGTGCTATCGGCCTTAGGATAGTAGGCGGCATGGGGTAGGAGGCTGCATAGATCGTTGATGAAGATTGAGGAACAAGACTGGGCGGCAAGGGATCGTGGGCCACCCCGTGGGAAAGAGATAAGGTTGTGAGGCCATCACTGACCACCCTGCTTCCGACCCGCCTCAGCAATAATTTGTCACATTCGGCCCACCTATGAAATAGGCAGCAACGAGCGTGCGCACCCGTGACAGCGCCACCCCCGCCGTCCTCGAGAAACAGCACCCTCTCCGCCTGACGCGGCGCCGGCTGGCGCGTGCAACCGACGCGCGGCGGGCGGACGCACGCTACCTCTGGAATCTGATTGCAGGTTGTCGCAGGCAGTGATCTTCTTGTAGGTGTACTCTTGGAACCAGTGAGCTCCGACTGGAAGGCTGGCAGCGGTCGGTCCGTCCGGTGGCCGGCTGCCTTCCCCGGCCATTCCGCCTGCCGAACAACAGCCCCGTCACCGGCCGGCTCGAGCGACGCCGCTCCAACAGTTGGATGCTTTAGACTGTGCTCGGCCGGCGACAGCGCGTGATGACATTGTGGGCGATGACTTGGGGCATATGTGGCCGCGCCCTTTATTATACGAGCCGTTTTATGCCAAGCGATGGTAGTTGTCTGCCCGCCGACGAGCCCGCCGGGACAGGAAATGTCGGTGCTTGCCAAGAAGACGGGTCCTGTTGAGTTGGACTGGCGCCAGCGGTCACGACCGGCACGCTATTTGCAAAACATGCGGCTGCTATGGCCATTAGCGACCCCCCCTCCCCTCCCCCAATGCCAAAGCGAAGGCTGAAGTGCGGCAGCGCCGAGTGTTCTGTAGCACGACAGCGTCCTAACCGCGCCCGCACAGCAGCTGAGAGACACGTGTCTGGACTGAGGCAGTCAAGACCGACATTCTCGTGCTGAGTCCTCGGTGCTAAATACGAACATCACCGTACTTCAATGTATTGCTAAGATGGACGATTTTTCGTACAGTTAGGCCTTCAAATTGTTAGCCCCTCGAACCTGGTTGAACCAATCAAAGACTTTGGATCAAGTAGCCAATTATTGTTAAGTTACATGCATGAAAACTTCTATCAGTATTTCTGATGCATTCAGAATTTTTATGACAACAGCCCCTCCACCCAAACATATTAAGGATGTTCAACTGTTTTTATGGGCTCCGTCCGTCCAATCAAGGTCGATAACGCGTCGATAACGACCATTGACCCTTGCGAAGCCCTTGGAAGCGCTGATCACGACGTCCGCCTCAGCAAACTGGATTGGTGTGGAGCGTCCCCGGGATAGTTCTGGGACTAACCCGAGGACTACCGAGGACTACCCGGACTACCCGAGGACTACCCGAGGAACTACCCGAGGACTACCCGAGAACTACCCGAGGACTACCCGAGGACTACCCTGAGAACTACCGAGGACTACCCGAGAACTACCCGAGGACTACCGAGGACTACCCGAGGAACTACCCGAGGACTACCCGAGAACTACCCGGGGACTACCGAGAACTACCCGAGGACTACCCGAGGACTACCCGAGACTACCCGAGGACTACCCGAGCGGTCGGAAGCAGGTGGTCGGTGGTGGCCCGGCAGCCTATATCTGTCCCACGGGTTGGCCCAGCGATCTCTTGCCGGCCCCAATCCTGGCCCTCATCTTCATCGACCACCTATCCAGCTTCCTACCCCACGGCCGTCTACTATCCTATGATGATGACACACAACTCCTTGACTCCGCTGCCCCCGATGTAGTCGGCCTTGTCCAACCTGGAAAGCCCGTTGTCAAGGGGTCCATTCAGTGCCTTCAAAACTGGATTTAGCCAAGGAGCCTTAAATGAGTCCCAAAAGACAGACTTCATGCTAATCGGCACCAGATCCATCACAAGGAGTGGCAACCTCCACATTACCATCTCCGGCACAAGCATTCATCCATCATGTTCGGGAGAAACTGGGTGTACTCCTCGACTACCACTTCCTACCTGGGAACCCTACATCTCCTCTCTCATTCGGCGTTGTAAACGCAATCTTCATATCCCTGTTCAAGATCCGACACCACATCACTCGCGAGGTTTTGAAGCTCCCTGTCAAAATCCATGTCTTCCCCCACACCCTCTACTGCTTGTCCATCTGGGGTGGAGCGACCGAACGTCACCTAGACAAGATGCACAGGGTAATGTATTGTAGCCAATATAAATGTTATTCGCAGCCAGGCTGGTGAGTGGTGTCCGCCGCAGTGCTCACGTTTCCTCACGGTTCTGGACGCGCTAGGTTGACGTAGTGTTGCGGATCTTGTGAACCACCGGGACTGCCTGAAAGTGTACAGGACACTGCACGTACCCGCACCTCCCAGATGCACTGCGTGCTCTATTCGCAACGCGCGCCGAATTCTTCCCACGCCAAACTCGGGCTGTTTTGGGCGGTGTCGGCTCGCTGCATCTGCCACGCGTCCGAGTGCGCGCCACTTAGCGACCCTTTCCGTACCGCGCCGCGCCATGTGGAGCCGACTGCCTACGTCGGCTGTCCGCGTCCCCTCGCGCCGGGCATCTTACTGTTTTAATCGCCGACTCGTCGACTGAAACTGTGTGGGCTATACCGGGTATGTGTATATCTGTAGAGCCCACACCGTACACCACACTGGTACGGTGTGGGCTCTTTTTCCTTGTTTGACTAGGCCGCAGAACAACCACCACGTGCGTCGGCCTTAAATAAAACTGTTGTAACTGTCATACTGTGACTGTGAAGGATATGTCAGCACTCGG